GTTGCAGGGTTTTTTTTCTACAGGGTCAAGGCTCCTTGTGCTGCTGATTGCTGGAACACTTGCCTCCTTGCCAAGATTCTTCAGAATCTCCTATAATCTCCTATTACTTTTGCTGGCTGGCTGGAGCCTTTGCTTTCAGCATCTGCAGAGCTGGCTCAAGTACAAGACTGCATGTTGGACAATTCCACAGGGACATCTAGGTAGCAGAGGACCTGCTGAATCTTAGGCAGATCCTGTCTGCCATACATTAGGGCGGCCCAGCACAGTGGTGTAAAGAAGTAACCGGCCCACTCTGCCCCCAAGCACAAGCAGTGGATTGCTTTTGATGTGGTTTCCAACTGGCTAGTCTTAACAGAAAGCACACCTGACTTACCATAACACTGCCAGCTGGCATGGGAGCGTACTGGACCCTTCTTGACAAACGAGACTCCTTTGTGGGATGAGTGATGGACAAGCTGCCTGCAAAGCCACCAGGCAAATGCGTTCTGGCTGCAGCTGTTGGGCCAACAGGTTCTGTTCCCTTTGCTGGAAGGTGTGACTCATGCACACTAAAGTGCCTTGCTTTCTGCCTCCCCCCCCACTTGGCTTCTGTACCTTATAATTTGCAGAAGGGTCTGGTGTGGTGAAAGAAACATGGCAAAAGAGTTGAGCAAGTTTGGGCTGTCTTTCTTAGGAGGTCCTTTAAAGATTCACTTTGCTAGATGCCCATCCTGTCCCTTACCCTTGGGACTTTCAGTGCTGCTTCCTCCTTATCTAGCCACAACAGTTTATCAGCTCTCAATAATGTCATGACAGTGTGACCACATCACCACTACCACCTCTGAGGGCCCCTGCCGTTAAGATGCAGAAAGGTACACACACCAAAACGGAAGCAAAAAAGTGATTGAAAAGTGCTGGTAATGATACACCCTTCACGTTCTCCACTGAAAGGATCATTTTGGGCTTGCATGACCCCAGACTACCTTTGAGCTTGTTACTGCACGTAGGAAAACAAAGGGCAATGTGTTGCGGGGATCACCCCTTCATGCTACAAATATTATTTCTTAAAAGGAGAGGGTCACATTTTCAAATGCACCCCTGTGTCAAAAACAACCTGCAAATGGAAAGCAAGCAAAGGATGAGGTTAAGTGTCCTGTTATGCCAACTTTCATGTTTGCAGAAATAAGGAGGTTTTTCCCTTGTAAAGGAACTTCCTGGAACCCACCGCCTGCTGTCTGCAGTGGTGCAGTCCATCCTATCAACTTGGGATTCTGCCACCTCATTCTCCTGCATGTGTGAAGTAGGCTTAGGAGGGTTTTCCTGTGTTCCTGTGTCAATTGGATGCTTGGTCCGTGGGCAGTTGTTAGTGGCCTTGTTCCAAAATTGAAGAATTTCTTCACAGCAGGTGGCTCAAGTGGTTAAGATGCTGAACTGCAGGCTGTGGAAGGTCGGTAGTTCAGCAGTTCGAGACCCGAGTGTGCCGCATGATGGAGTGAGCTCCCGTCTCTAGTTCCAGCTCCTGCCAACCTAGCAGTTCGAAAGCAAGAAATTGCAAGTAGATAAATAGGTACCACTTCAGTGGGAAGGTAACAGCATTCTGTGCGCCTTGGTGTTTAGTCATGCCGGCCACATGACCACGGAAACATCTTCAGACAGCACTGGCTCTTCGGCTTTGGAACGGAGATGAGCACCACAACCCTAGAGTCAGATTTGACTGGCTGTCGAGCAAGGGAACCTTTACCGTTACCTTTTATTGTCCCTCTTGAGTAGGGAAGGTCCATTTATCTTGAGAGACTTACCCTCTTGGAATTTGTCTGATACTTTGATAAAGCCAATGGCCTTCATCTCATCTTGTAGCAGTAAGTTCCATGAGTCAAGTTTGTGTTGTGTAAATAGGTACTTCCTTTTTGCTTGTTCTGAATCTCTGGCCAATCAGTTTCACTGGATGATCCCCCAAATTCTAATATTGCCTCCACAGGTATTATATCTCCTTAGAGAGCATTTTAATAAACTAATGGTGAAATGAGGGGCAACCTGTCAACTAGGCAGCCCTCAGTAATCACCGAGGGCATCAGAGAGGCACCAACCAGCCTCGTCCTTAAAATCAGCCTCCATTCCTGAGGACTGGAAGGTAGCAAATGTCACTCCCATCTTTAAAAAGGGTTCCAGAGGAGATCCGGGAAACTACAGGCCAGTCAGTCTGACGTCGATACCGGGTAAATTGGTGGAAACCATTATTAAGGAAAGAATTAGTAGGCACATAGATGAACAAAACCTATTGAGGCAGACTCAGCACGGTTTCTGTAAGGGAAGATCTTGTCTCACTAACCTGTTAGTGTTCTTTGAGGGGGTGAACAAACATGTGGACAAGGGGGATCCAATAGATATTGTTTACCTTGACTTCCAGAAAGCTTTTGATAAAGTTCCTCATCAAAGGCTCCTAAGTAAGCTCAAAAATCATGGGATAAAAGGACAAGTCCTTTTATGGATCAAAAACTGGCTAATTAATAGAAAACAGAGAGTGAGTGTAGGTGGGCAATTTTCTCAGTGGAGGGGGGTAAGCAGTGGGGTACCACAGGGATAAGTACTTGGTCCACTGCTTTTTAACTTGTTCATTAATGATTTGGAGTTGGGAGTAAGCAGTGAAGTGGCTAAATTTGCGGATGATATGAAGTTGTTCAGGGTGGTGAAAACCAGTGAGGATTGTGAGACACTCCAAAGGGATCTGTCAAAGATGGGCGAGTGGGCGTTAACATGGCAAATGGGGTTCAATGTGGCCAAGTGCAAGGTGATGCACATTGGAGCCAAAAATCCTAACTATAAATACACGTTGATGGGGTCTGAACTGGCAGAGACTGATCAAGAGAGAGATCTTGGAGTTGTAGTGGATAACTCACTGAAAATGTCGAGACAGTGTGTGACTGCAATAAAGAAGGCCAATGCTATGCTGGGGATTATTAGGAAGGGTATTGAAAACAGATCAGCCAATATAATAATGCCCCTATATAAATCAATGGTGAGACCTCATTTGGAATACTGTGTGCAGTTCTGGGCACCACACCTTAAAAAGGATATTATAGCTTTGGAAAAAGTGCAGAAAAGGGCAACTCGAATGATAAAAGGGTTGGAACACTTTCCCTATGAGGAAAGGTTAAAGCGCTTAGGGCTCTTTAGCTTGGAGAAAAGGACGTCCTTCTTCACC